TGTGCGCGGGCGCCGATTTGCAAGCTGCTCTCCTTCCCTCCGGGCCGCGAGCCTGGAAAAGTTGGAGACCTCTGTCCTAAATGACCGTATTAAGACCTTGATCCCAACTGAAGGCGGTGGAGAAGATGAACAATCTTGAGGCTTTGGCACAGGTTGTGATCTGCACCAGGTCGTTGCAGACCTTGTATGTCTCACCAGCCTTTGTGTTCCTTCTCTCTAGTTGATTCCGGTGTGGAAACCTTGGCGGGGTTTATGGCAAGCAACGGCACGACAGACGTTGTGAACCGGAATGGGCCCGCCACTCCCCCCAACACCCTTCAGCTGCGCTCCTCTCACAACGAACTGCTGAATGCCGAAATCAAGCACACGGAGGTCAAGCACAGCACACCTCCCAAATGCAGGAAAAAATACGCCCTGACCAACATTCAGACAGCCATGGGTCTTTCCGACCCCGCAGCCCAACCTTTGCTGGGCAGCAATTCCTCCAACATAAAGCTGGTGAAAAACGGAGAAAACCAGCTTAGGAAAGCGGCAGAACAAGGACAGCAGGACCCCAATAAAAACCTGGCCGCTCCGTTGGTGACCGCGGGTCTAAACATAACTTCTGAGAAGTTGGAGGGGAAGGAACCAAGCCAACAGGACTCTTCCGGCGGCGAAATCCTGCCCGCCCAACACCGAAGAACTAAGAGCTTCCTAAACTACTATGCAGATCTTGAGACATCGGCCAGGGAGGTGGAGCAGAATAATGGCGAGAGCCAGGTGGTGGCAGCGGAGGAGAAATTGCCTTCACAATGCAATAGTCAAACATCCGTGGTCGTGGCGAACGGCGATCCCTTGCCTCCAAAGCAAGACAAGGCAGCGAGTCCTGAAGATGGGCCAACAGCAGCCATCTCTTCCAGCCCAGAGACGAAAAAGGATCACCCTAAAACTGGCGCCAAGACAGATTGTGCGCTACACAGGATTCAGAACCTGGCTCCCAGTGATGAGGACTCTAGCTGGACCACCTTGTCTCAAGATAGTGCTTCTCTGAGTTCCCCGGAGGAAACAGGTAAGGATGCTTCCTTGAGGTGCTTTGGACCCGGGCGGAGACAGGTGAGGCAAGAAAGACGATGTGCCTAAGTGTAAGGAGAAGCGTGAAGGAGAAGAGCAGACAGAGATGAAGGGCGGAGTAAAGCACGCCATCAGCTTAGAATAGAGAATAGAACAGAATAGAACAACAGAACAGAAAATGGAGTAGAAAATGGAATGGAGTGGAACGGAGTGGAGTGGAGTGAGTGAAATAGAATGGAATGGAATGGAATATAGAATATGGAGTGGAGTGGGATAGGATGGGATGGGACAGGACAGGACAGGACAGAACAGAACAGAACAGAACAGAACAACAGAACAGAAAATGGAGTAGAAAATGGAATGGAGTGGAACGGAGTGGAGTGGAGTGGAGTGAGTGAAATAGAATGGAATGGAATGGAATAGAATATGGAGTGGAGTGGGATAGGATGGGATGGCATGGGACAGAACAGAACAGAACAACAGAACAGAAAATGGAGTAGAAAATGGAACGGAGTGGAGTGAGTGAAATAGAATGGAATGGAATGGAATAGAATATGGAGTGGAGTGGGGTAGGATGGGATGGAATGGGATGGGACAGAACAGAACAGAACAGAACAACAGAACAGAAAATGGAGTAGAAAATGGAATGGAGTGGAACGGAGTGGAGTGGAGTGAGTGAAATAGAATGGAATGGAATGGAATATGGAGTGGAGGATAGGATAGGATGGGATGGGACAGAACAGAACAACAGAACAGAAAATGGAGTAGAAAATGGAACGGAGTGGAGTGGAATGGAATGGAGTAGAGTGAGTGGAATAGAGTGGAATGGAATGGAATAGAATACAGAGTGGAGTGGGATGGGATGGGATGGGACGGAATAGAATAGAATAGTGGTGGGGGTTTTTTGTTTTAAACAATTAAACAACTGTTTAAGTCAAGGATTACCTTCATTATGTTTCATTTGGGCCATCTGCTTTCTGAATGGCCCACAAACAGGAAGATCAGTCCAGTGATGTGGCTAGTGATTAAAATACAGGCAGTCCTTGACTTACGACGGCAACTGAGCCCAATATTTCGGTGGCTAAGTGAAACCATTGTGAAGGGAATTTTGCCCCATTTTACCGTGACCTTCCTTGCCGCAGTTTGTTACGTGAATCACTGCAGTTGTTAAGTCAGTTGCCCGGTCGTTAAGCGGATCTGACTCCCCCCCCTTGACTTTGTTTGTCAGAAGGTCACAAAAGGGGATCACATGACACACACCCCCGGGGACGCTGCGACCGTCATAAATATGAACCAGTTGCCAAGCGTCCGATTTTTGATCCCATGCTCACGGGGATCTTGCAAAGGTCGTACCTCTGAAAAATGGTGGTAAGTCACATTTTTGAATGATCACTAAACGAACAATGACCTGTAGCGTGAAAAAAAGTGGCCACCGTTGTCCAGCTCTACAGTAGGTGTCTGCTCTGGCCTTACCTACAGAGTTTGGTTCTTATGTGGTCCTCTCTGTTTAACTGTGTACGAGGAGGCCAACCAAATTCCTAGCAGATTTGTGATGCTTCCCCCCTCCTTTTTTTTTTAATCGCGCTCCGATCAATTCGTCAAAAGCCATAAAAAGATCCTGAAGTCCCGGAAGGACTGTCAAGCCATTAAAAGAGGCCACGTTCACAGCCTGATGGGTCCAATTGATCCACGGGCGGCACTGTGGCACTTAGAACATTAACCTTGAACATTGGCCAAACTTAGCTTGGCTTCATGGAGACTTTGCTATACGGCTTGTTTCACGTTGACAGGGGGACAGATCTGAAGTCTACCTTTTGGAAGTCCTTTTTTGCACTTGTTGGCTGTGGGGTTCAGACGAGTCTTGATTATGGAGTCGTAGAGCTGGGAGGGACCTTGGAGCAATTCTAGTCCAGCCCCCTGCCCAAGGCAGAAGTCCTTATTGTATGCCAGACAAAGGGTGGAACTGTTCTGTCCCAGCCTACGTGAGTCCTTGTTAAGCTCACAAGGAGAAACCCCTCTTCCAACAAGCAGGCTGGAAGCGCAGGAAAAAAACAATCCCCTTTTATTATTCGCAGAACTGAGTCCATGTCCAAGGCAAACAAACACAGTTCACAGAAACTCGATCCTCAACATGAATGGCTGCCTTTGGCAATCAGCACCTCCCACACCTTCCCTTTCATTATGCAGCCAAGGCGTGGCTTCTTAATGCCTTCTCCTTCGCCTTTGGAGCCGCCCCATTGCATTCCTCTGTCCTACTCTCTTTTCTTGCCGGCGTTTTCGTGCATCCTGGATTTGTCCCAGCTGTTCTTCATCACTGTCCAACTCCGGCTCCCAGCACAGCTGTGTCCCAGCCTGAGCGCGAGTAGAGGGGCCAGGCTCCTCGTCAGACTAAGTCTTGGAGCTCCTAGAGCCTTCCTCTGACTCTGATGTCCCTCCAGGCCCCTCCTCCTCCTCCTCTGATTCCTCAGACTCATCTGCCGGGTCCACTGGATGGCGAGGAATCACAACAGGAACAGCTTGTCTCCAGAAGTTCTGGGTGTTCCATCACTGGAGGCTTTTAAGAAGAGACTGGACAGCCACTTATTTGTGTGAAATGGTACAGGGTCACCCCTGCTTGAGTAGGGGGCTGGACTAGAAGACCTCCAAGGCCTCTTCCAGCTCTATTCTGATTGATTGGCTTTCCTATGAAGAATGAGAGAACCAACCTAGAACTAAGGAGAAATTTCCTAACAGTGAGAACAATTAACCAGTGGAACGGTTTTGCCTTCAGAAGTTGTGGGTGCTGCATCACTGGAGATTTTTAAGAAGAGATTGGACAGCCATTGGTCTGGAATGGTATAGGGTTTCCTGCCTGAGCAGGGGGTTGGACTAGAAGACCTCCAAGGTCCCTTCCAGCTCATTCTATTCTGTTTATAAAGTACTCCAATCCATCCAGTTTTGACACTCAACAAGAACAATTTTTAAACGGAGAGTCCTAGCTATCAGCGCTCAAACGGAGATGGAGTTTAGCAACTGGACAGCTACTAGTCTGAAATGGTATAGGTTTCCTGCCTGAGCAGGGGGCTGGACTAGAAGACCTCCAAGGTCCCTTCCAGCTCTATTCTATTCTACTCTCTCTTCCTGGCTAATCCCTGAGGTGGCATCTGGCGTTTGCCCAAGTCCCTGTTTATCAAGCAGGAAATGGTACGGGAAGAAACAGACATAATTTAATTCAGACCTCTCTTTAAAAAAAGAAAGAAAGAAAGAAAGAAAAAAGGAGCCTTAAAAAGCCACCGTTTTTTTCAGCCTAGGAAATAAGTCATTTTAAACAAGAGTGAATTTGGCCTGATAAAGAGATGCTTCAGCACTTTCTGTCTGGACTGGCGGGACCGTTCCTGCCAAAACCGCGGGCTTGATCTACGCTCCCCAGTGGATATTTAAAAAATATAGCAAGACGGGGAAGGCTTGAATTTAAACAAGCCACTAGGCAAAAATCTATAAATTTAGTGTTCGGGAAGGTTAAAACTGGTTGCTGGATGGTCTTAGGAGCAAATTACCGCACAAGGGAGACATACATGAAAGAGTGAACGCATTTTTTCTCCGTGAACGAAATTGATGGGAGAAGATCCGATCTCTCGCTCGCGTCCAAAATACGATGTTTGCAGGCTGCGTTCCATTAGCCCCCGTCTGTCAAAAGTAATAAATTTTGATTTTTGATAGGGCAGAGAGGTGTAGAGAGAGAGAGAGAGAGAGAGAGAGAGAATACAGTAGATATACAGTAGATCTCTGCTTGTTGTTGCACCTGAGTTGTAATAAACGGCACTCTGAGGGAATAGCCAGGAATACGTTCACGGTCCACCATTTTGTAGTCTTGCGCAATTCAGATGCTTCTTTAGCGTAAACGACGATCTGTGGAAGATTACTTCTAATACCAGTGACCCTCAACTTACAACTTAACAGTTGAGCCCCAAATTTCTGTTGCTAAGCGAGGTGGTGGTTAAAGTGAATTTTGCCTCATTTTACGACCTCCAGGATCTTCTGGAGACAATCTGCTCTATGTTTGAACATCTTTAGAAGGTCTACATCGGACGTTTTGCACCACTGATCCGAAATTCTGGATTTGGGGTCTTCATTCCTTTGGGGGGGGGGTTTCTTTCCCTCAGCTGTCCTGAAGGGATGATTGTTGGTTATTAACGATAATATTCTTGTTGTTATGAACGGCTAGGATCATTACAGGCATCTAGTTTTTCGTTTCCGTTGGCTTTTGAGGTACGTTTTGAGATAACAGAGGTTCTAGACAGGTTACAACCCAAGAGTGTTGATGCCAGGCAAGTAATTTCACCATCCTTAATCACTCACACACCTTATTAAGCTTTCTTAGAAATTCTGTGGTAAAATCAGTTAAATCACCGGCATTCCGAGAATAATATAGGTTAGGAATGGAAGAAGGTGTTTCACTGTGTTCGGGACGCTTGCCGTATGAAGAGCATATAGCTTTGGAATCAACTATGACATCATTGTCAAATGGAAATTCGGAGAAATAATAGGCCACAATATTTGGACACACGTTTCGTCTATCACGGGGTAGGCAACCTTGGCTCTTTTATGACTGGTGGACTTCAACTCCCAGAATTCCTGAGCCAGCATGGCTCAGCTTGGAAATCTCTCCCTTTCCCCTCAGCATGGCTGGCTCAGGAATTCTGGGAGTTGAAGTCCACCAGTCATAAAAGAGCCACGTTTGAAGACCCCTCAGTTAGAGGAACATATGAAAGCATAATTAATGTTAATTAATGTAGACTTTATTAGTTTAGAGCAGGGGTAGGCAACCTTGGCTCTTTTATGACTGGTGGACTCCAACTCCCAGAATTCCTGAGCCAGCATGGCTCAGCTTGGAAACCTCTCCCTTTCCCCTCAGCATGGCTGGCTCAGGAATTCTGGGAGTTGAAGTCCACGAGTCCTAAAAGAGCCACGGTTGCCTACCCCTGGTCTATCAGATTGCAACTTGAAGACTTGTGGGAC